CACACACACACACACACACACACTTTCTCTCTCTCTCTCTCTCTCTCTCACACACACCTTGTCTTTGACCCATTCTCCATTGTTTTGGTCCATCAGTGCTGTCAGCGTGTCGATGGTGGTGATGTTCCAGGTCCTGATCTCCTCCACCGTGGCCTGTCGTGAAACAGAGGCGAGCAGCTGCAGCACGCTGTCGGACAGACCGGCGGGATACACCTGGAACACAGCGTTCATCAGCGTTACACAGCGACGCTCGCCAGACCACACGCGGCAGAGATGCACGTCTCGCTCACCTGCTTCAGCTTGCTCAGAATGATTCTCTGGTAATCGTTGTCATCCACTTTCTCCGTGACCGCCGCCAGGTTATCTCTGAGGACCCTCACGGCCAGACAGGCGTCAAACTGGGCCGCGGTGTAGCCGAAGGGGAACGAGGCGTCTGCGACCGTGGCTTCGGTGATGTTGCCCGCAGTGCAGTCTGACCGACACAAACATCAACACCATCAAACAATCCTGTAACAGCTACACTCCTCTTCATGTCACAGAGTTTCACTGTTACAAGTCAGCTATTATTAGCGGCCAGTTTAGGCTTCCTGGTTTTCCTATTATTATTATTACTCTACTAATAATCAAAAGGAGCATCATGCTATATTTTCCTATGATTGTCTGAGCTCCATATGCCTTAGCAAGGGTTTATCCACAGTTATTTATATACATAAAATCTTGGATTTTCAAAACCGTTTGCCTGTTAAATGCCAATGAAATACCAAAACTGATGGTGTAGATGGCAGGCTTTATCTTTGCAATGATTTGATCTGTTAAAACCAAACTTGAAACCAATCATCATCTTCATGCTCTTAAAGTATATACCAAATATCAAGCCGGCATAACCTACTGGTCAAAAGTTATATGCAATAACGTATCCATTTCTGATTGGCTCCATCAATGCTGCTTGCAGCTATTATTCTTTAAGTATATAATGTAGTATCAATTTAATTACACGTAATATCTTAATTATAAAGTGTACAGCTTGCAGTATATTACAGTATTTTGCAATCGCTAGGACACATTTCTCAATACTTAGGTCACTTTTTCAGAACAGTAGAGAATTATAAGCAGTATAGATTAGGGGTTGCACCGACTAATTGACTGGTCGACTTCAATGCTCTGCCATGACGCTTTAAGCTTGACGTCGACTAGTCGCTGGTCCTATAGAGGGTGCAACAGGATAAGAAATCTTTGAAGGACTTCCACATTTATGCTTCGTTTCCAAACAGTTCAAATGACAAATAAATGCATACTCTGAAAGCGGTCCACAAGACATGTGTGATTATATTACTGGATGCTCGAAATTGAACGGGAGAATGCACGTTTTAAACAGCTTATTGTACAGGTAAATTAATCGCCGTTCTAATCTAATGGCTGCTGCACTGTAACGCACACACATAGGCTACAGACAGTAGCTCGTACATCACGCGCACAGAATCATTCAGCGTGGAAATGTATTGTCAACACTGTTCTGTGATTTCTCAATAAAATAGCTTAGAAACTGAAAAGTTCAAGCATACATTTCTTAATAACTAAATCCCACAGCTTCACTATTAGTAGAGAGACGCTGCCAGGTAGAATTAATTCACACACGCAATCGCTCTCACTAATGCATTCATATGAATGTAATCTTTACTGTGCTACTTTATCTGTATCTGATTTAGAACGAGCAGAAATCTGTGAGAAACATAACGACCCAAAGACAAAAGAACTGATAAAAAAGCTGTTACAATTACGATTAATTTGCCCCGCAATAATTACCGCAAAACTGACGCGCTGCGAGGATAACAAAAGATCAGGCTATTTACTCCTCAATTAAAATGTTTTTAAACAAGGTCTTTTAAAACAGGTCTATTAGGCTATACAATGAATTATAGTCCTATAATTAAAATATTAACACTGCAGTCATCAATAAAAATCAATGAAATAAAAAGCTTTTATTTCAAGCACCGACTTTCAAAAACAACCTGTTTAACACAAAATAACAATTTCAGATAAACATCATTTACTATTTTTTAAACCGCAGGCCGTTCCCCACAATGTCAAAAATTTCAGGTTTTACTATCCTTGTGGGGAAATTTGGTCCCCTCACTGTAGCATAAACAAGTACACACACACACACACACACAAACACACACAAACAAACAAACCACTCACTCACTCACTCACTCACTCACTCACTCACTCACACACACACACACACACACAGACACAGGTACACACACACACACACAGGTTTGTTTTTGTGAAAAGTGGGGACATCCCGTAGGCGTAATGGTTTTTCTACTGTACAGACCGTATATTCTATTGTCCTACACCAACCCTACCCCTAAACCTATCCCTCACAGGAAACTTTGTGCTATTTCAGATTTTCAATACACTCCATTCTGTGTGATTTATAAGCGTTTTGAAAAGTGGGGACATGGGGTAATGTCCTGAAAAGTCACCTTCTCCTTGTAATACCTATGTCATACCCTTGTCATTATACAAATTTATGTCCTCATTTGTCACAAAAACGCGCGCGCACACACACACACACACACACACTAACAAACACACACACACACACAAACAAACACACAAACAAACACACAAACAAACACACACACACAAAGAAAACAAGTAGATGGAATAGAAAAAGAATAATTCTTACAATGATCAATGTTCACCCCAAAAATGACAATTCTTTCATTTAGTCATCCTCATGTACCTTCCAAACTCGTATGACCGACTCTCTTCTGTTAAAAGATATTTTGAAGAATGTTGATAACCAAACTGTTTTTAGTTACCATTGACTTCCATTGTATGGACAAAAAAAAAAAACCAGGCTTTTCTCAGAAAAGATGTTCCTTTATTTAATTATTTATTTTTGCACAGAAGAAACTCATACAGGTTTGGAATAAGATGAGGGTGGAAAAATGACAGAATGATAATTTTTAGGTTAACTGTCCCTTTAAGAAATCTGAAACTATTACTTTATGCAACCTACAATGATATTATCATGCAACAGAAAATTATAATCTACAGTACTGAGGATAGATGATTGTTTAGTACTTTTAAAACATAGCAACCACTGCAATTTAATCATGATCCAAACAAAGATGCTGCATACATTCAACATGAGCAGTTTTTAATCTAAATTAGATTGTATAATTTCGAAATTTGAAGCAAAAACAGAATGGTTTGACTTCAGTTTTGTGAAACTATACATAAAAAATATCTGCATGAAACAGAAACAGCAGACGAGCTGAACGAGACGCAGATTCACTCTCTGCCAGCAGGTGGCGCTTAAAGCGTTTCCTTGGTTTCCTTGGCGCTTATGAACTTTAATATGCATTATACAGAGGTAAGATGAAAAGAAAAAATACCATCTACACTTTTCTAAAGGCAGTAAGTTCCCCTCAGACATACATTCACATAAACTCCTACCCCTAACAACCGGCTCACGGTTAATTGTTACATCCCTAAAAACTAAACTGAAATTCATAGCAAATTTGAAAACGATATTAAAATAAAACGAATTAAAAAATTCCAAACTGTAATGACCTTGCTAGTTAGCCGTTATGCTTTCTCCAACAGTAAGTAATACAGACCCTCTCATCTCCCAATAGTAAGACCCTCTCTGAGCAGCAGGTGTGGAGCAGGGTTTGTGTGCTGTTCCTGTCCTGTCCTCCTGTGTTTCCCATCTAATTTGAGCCTGTGTTGTGTGTGTTTTCTGTGCAGGTGGTATCACGCGTCTCTGTCCCGCAGTCAGGCGGAAAACATGCTGATGAGAGTCCCGCGTGACGGTGCTTTCCTCGTTAGGAAGAGAACAGAAGTCAACTCTTTCGCCATTTCCTTCCGGTGAGATCCAGGCTCCCGCTCTCATGTTGTATTGTGTGCTCGTCTCCGCAGCTCTTCTCACTCTCGTCTGTCTCTCTCAGGGCGGAGGGCAAGATAAAGCACTGCCGCGTGCAGCAGGAGGGACAGACGGTGGTTTTGGGCACCTCAGAGTTTGACAGTTTAGTAGATTTAATCAGTTACTACGAGAAACATCCACTGTACCGTAAGATGAAGCTACGCTACCCCATCAACGAGGAAACACTGGAGAAGATTGGCACTGCTGTGAGTGATCTGCACAACTGACCTGTTACATCCGTGCTTAACTCTTTCCCCGCCAGCATTTTTGAAAAAAGTTGCCAGCCACCGCCAGAGATTTTGATGATTTTCACAAAAATTTGATGGCCTCCAGTATATTTTGCTGTATGAATATTTGAATATGCAATACACCAAAATAAAGATCAGAGCCTCTACTTTTAACAAAAAAATCTGTTTTATTCTAGCTTAAAGCATTCTTTTTTTTATCAACACTTGAATTATAGGTAGGTTTCATGAAAATGCATAATTTTGAGCAAAAAGATAAAGATAAAAATCACATTTTTATCAAAGATTACAACTGGATAATATTCAGTACGATTATCAAAGCATAAATCCAGTAAATCGCTTCCATCAATACCGCCAAAGCTTGCAAAGACATATACCACTTCCTGGATCAACATTTTACTCCGTAACATTATGCAGTTTTCATTTATATGCTGTCTCCCTCAAAACTGAATTCTGTCTTTCAGAAAACGAGATATTTTAAAACGAGACATAAGAGTCTTGTAAACCAAACCATTGACTTCCTTTGTAGGGACAAAAAAGTACACATTTCTCAAAATATCTTTTATGTTCCTCCGAAGAAAGAAAGTCGTGCAGTTTTGGCGCGAAATGAGAACAGAATGACAGAATTTTGGGTGAACTGTCTCTTTAAGGATGCACCAGTATGGAATTTCTAGACTAATAAACAAAGGGAACTAATTAGATGATTAATTCAAAGCACTCACTGGTGAACAACTGTAGCATGTAGAAACTTAAAATCTGGACTTGCAATACATGTAGCAGATCTGACGGCATGCATACTGAAATCTTGATTTGTCTCGCTGTGATTGGTTCAGTTTGATTGCTGTTAAAATACTTTACTTCCTTCAGCTGTTTGTTGTGATTGGTGCGTATGAGTTTCTCAGAATGCGGTTAGTTTATACACTGAACAAAATTATAAACGCAACACTTTTGTTTTTGCCCCCATTTTTCATGAGCTTAACTCAAAGATCTAAGACTTTTTCTATGTACACAAAAGGCCAATTTCTCTCAAATATTGTTCACAAATCTGTCTAAATCTGTGTTAGTGAGCACTTCTCCTTTGCCAAGACAATCCATCCACCTCACAGGTGTGGCATATCAAGAAGCTGATTAGACAGCATGATTATTGCACAGGTGTGCCTTAGGCTGCCCACAATAAAAGGCCACTCTAAAATGTGCAGTTTTATCACACAGCACAATGACACAGATGTCGCAAGTTTTGAGGGAGCATGCAATTGGCATGCTGACTGCAGGAATGTCCACCAGAGCTGTTGCCCGTGAAATGAATGTTTTTATAGTTATCGCTCTTGGTGTGAACGGGGCTTAAGGCACACCTGTGCAATAATCATGCTGTCTAATCAGCATCTTGATATGCCAGACCTGTGAGGTGGATGGATTATCTCGGCAAAGGAGAAGTGCTCACTAACACAGATTTAGATAGATTTGTGAACAATATTTGAGAGAAATAGGCCTTTTGTGTACATAGAAAAAGTCTTAGATCTTTGAGTTCAGCTCATGAAAAATGGGGGCAAAAACAAAAGTGTTGCGTTTATAATTTTGTTCAGTGTAATTAGCCTCTAGAGAACAAGTGTATGCCTCAGACTGCACACAGAAATTGATCCGCTCTGGCTGAGATCCCCACAGCTCTAATGCGATTGGCTGGTTTTACGCAGTTTCCGGGAGTCACAGGGTACAGGTGGAAATCAAAAATCTTCTGAAGAAAGATGTTGAAGATAACTTCTAAGAATTCGTCCCTAAATATAGCTTGAAAAAATTAAGTTCTTGAATATTTTCTTTAGAAAATAAGGTGCCAATTCTCACTGTTAACTAGTTGCTTATTAGCATGCATATTACTATCATATTGGCTGTTTATTAGTACTTATAAAGCACATATTAATGCCTTACTCTGCAAAACCACCCCATACCTAAACTTGAAAATTCAGTCATTAATTACTCACCCTCGTGTCGTTCCAAACCCGTAAGACCTTCGTTCATCTTCAGAACACAAATTAAGATATTTTTGATGAAATCCGAGAGCTCTCTGACCCTCTGTAGAGAGCAATGCAACTGAAATGCGTTGATTACGTTCTGGGGAAAGCGCGCGCATGCATTGTGATACTCTCTAAAAGAATTGTTGAATAAAGTCGTTATTTTTGTTTTCTTTACGGTTGAACCACTGATGTCACATGGACTATTTAACCGATGTCCTTACTATGTTTCTGGACCTTGATCGTGGTAGTTACCTTGCTGTCTATGGGAGGGTCAGAGAGCTCTCGGAGTGCATCAAAAATATCTTAATTTGTGTTCTGAAGATGAACGAAGGTCTTACGGGTTTGGATCGACATGAGGGCGAGTAATTAATGACTGAATTTTAACCCTTTAACAACTACCTCACTAGCTATTAATAAGCAGCAAGTTAGGAGTTTGAGGCAAAAGTCATAGTTAATAGTGAGAATTGGTCCCTGAAAATAATCGTGCTGAAAGAATAAATTTATGCTGTAACAATTACAAACTGAAAAACAAGGTCTCTATTTGACATTTTCATAGAGTTGTTACTGAATCTCAAATCCAAAAAGTTACGTCATTCATAATCATGACCGTTAACTGTGTTCATGATTGATAATTTGTGTGACTTCAGAGCACTTGTGCACATAGTAATATTATATGAAGTTAGTGTTTTGTTGTAATGCTTAATAAAAAAAAAAGAAAAGAAAAAGTGATACATCCCAATGAATTTAAGTACCTTACTTTTGGGATTTAAGACAAGTTTGAGGTTATCCCAACTTTAAGAAATTATTTATGATGTTTTTTAAGAACGTTCTTTTCAAGAATTTGAATTTTTTACGTTTTGTCTAAATAGTAACAAAAAAAGATAAGAACATTAAGCATATTTTGGACTACAATATAGAAAAAAAAAAAATAAGAAAATGACAATTAAGAATAATTTTATTCGTAATGTTTTGTGAATCTGGCCTCAGCCAGTGCTTGAATTTATTTTGAGAGATCCTTGAGCACATCTGTACATCCTAGAAATAATTGATATTTTTGTTTAAGTGTGAGAGAAGTGACTCTTTTACTTTACAGTCTTTCTTGGAAACTGCTGTTCGATTATTTGAAAGAACTAGCAGGTTTTGCACTAGATCTGTGTATTATTGTGGTTTTGGTTTACAAATGTACCTATTAATTGTTCGTTAGACCTTACTGTCAAGCTGTTTTTGAGTGAAAGCTCTTTCTCTTCTTGTCTGCATGCAGGAGCCTGATTATGGATCTCTGTATGAGGGCCGTAACCCTGGATTCTATGTGGAAGCCAATCAGATGCCCACGTTTAAGGTACCTCTGCTCTCTCTGCATGTGCAGCGTGTTTCTGGTGCTGTTCGGTGTAGTGTATGACGGTCCTGTGTGTGTGTGTGTGTGTGTGTGTGAGCAGTGCACAGTACGAGCCATGTATGAATACAAAGCCCAGCGCGATGATGAACTTTCCTTCAGTAAGAATGCCATCATTCAGAACGTGGACAAACAGGAAGGACTCTCGTGACAAGAAGTGCATTTATTCAGTCGCAGAACGTCTTTACGAGCACATCAAATGGGAGCGAAGTGCGTGCTCTTCAATTGCACGCACAAAGGTGCTGGCGTGCGCTGTAGCCTTTATCATTTCATATCAAAGCACGAATTAAACTACGTGCATGTAGTGTCATGGTCGGTTAAGTCATGAAGTTACCAAAAAGGCGATTAAAGCTGCCTTAAAACTGTGCATGCATGTAATATATTATATATGAGTCAGATTAAAAAAAATATATATATATATATATACAGTCGTGGTCAGAATTATTGGCACCCTTGGTAAATATGATCAAAGAAGGCTGTGAAAATAAATCTGCATTGTTAATCATTTTGATCTTTTCTTTTAAAAATTCACATAAATCTAACCTTTCCTTGGAGAATAAGAATTTAAAATGGGGGGAAATATCATTATGACATAAATGTTTTTCTCTAATACACATTGGACACAATTAACGGCACCCTTTTATTCGATGCTTTTTGAAACCTCCGTTTGGCATAATAGCAGCTCTGAGTTTTCTCCTATAATGCCTGATGAGGTTAGAGAACACCTGACAAGAGATCAGAGACAAGACTCATGGCTGTATTAGATCAAAAGGGTGCTTCTACTAAATACTGAGCAAAGGGTCTGAATACTTAAGACCATTTGATATTTCAGTTTTTCTTTTTTAATATATCTGCAAAAATGTCAACAATTCTGTGTTTTTCTGTCAATATGGGGTGCTGTGTGTACATTAATGAGGAAAAAAAATTATCATAAATGATTTTAGCAAATGTGCAATATAACAAAGAGTGAAAAATTTAAGGGGGTCTGAATACTTTCCGTACCCACTGTATATACACAGTATATTAGGGCTGGGCAAGTTAACACGTTAATGCATTAATTAATTAATGCCGACAATTATTTTATCGAGCATTAACGCAGTGTTTTTTTATTATTATTATTATTATTCTGAATGTCCGTAATTGCTCACTGGCTCTGAATACACATACAGACAAACCATGGGTCATCATGTCAATGAAATACTATTATAGTTTTTCTTACTATTTTGAATTAGTTTTTTTTAATATATATATATATATAGTTTCTGCTTTCGTGTTCATGTTAACATTTTAGTATTTATGCTTTTGTCATTTTTCTTAGTTTTTGTTGTTTTTAAAAATGTCTGTATAGTTTTAATTAATTTTTTTATTTAGTTTTAGTTATTTTAGTACATCAGGTTAAGATCAATGAATATGAGAGTTTTTTCTTTCTTTTTTTTTTAGTTATTTGTTGTTTCAAGTAACGAACTTGTTTGAGTCACTTTGCTACAAAAATAAACCCGAAATATAGTGCTAAACTTGGCTCTCAAGAGGCAGAAATACAAAATGAAGAAGTAGCTCTAGAATACAGAAGTGCTAAATGAGGCCACTAATTAGACAGGTGAACTAAATTAAAAAGAAGTAACTAAACTAAAAACAAGTAACGTTTGACCTGAGACTGTCTCTCGGCTCACTCATGCCTCTAACGATAACTATATCATTAAATCTAATCGTTCTGATGCTATGAGATTAGTGAAGTCTAGTCTGCAACTATAACGAGAACGACACAGAGGAACAATATCACCGAAATTATGGATGGAGCGATTACCGGTTTGACGATAAATCATGATAAAATTCTCCACGGTTAGTATTACCTTGTCATATTTTAAGTATCATTAAAACCGTATTCAATTACAGCGATTTGAACAACTGTGGATAAATAAATACTGTCCAGCATAAAGCACAGTTTTCAGAAACAGTCTCACGTGAGCACAGCACAAAAACTAATTTCGTTTTGTGTGAAAACATGGAGGAAAAGCTGGGAGGTTTTAAAAGAGTGCTAAGGGAATTATACAAATGAATATACGCATGAATACGAATGACCTCAGGTGAAGCTAACCCTGGAACAACATATAAAACTACCAAATTTTGCTTAATCGCAACATGCAATCGCAAAGTTTAATCGTAATATATAATCATTGCAGTTAATAGTGTTTGATTACGTGTAATTTGTAACTAACTTTGATTCTTACTGTTCATTTCTGCCATAGTCACCACTAATAGCCTACTCCTAAATATAATGTAGAGAATTAAAATTTTCTCTAAAGCTGCTTTGCAGTGATTTGTATCGAAAATAAACCTGAATTGAATCAAATTGAATGAATTAATTATATGAATGTACCTGTCTTCACAAAAGATTCAATGGCATTTTGTTTTTATCTTCACTTTGTGTAATACCTAATAAAGTAGTGTTTTAATCGCAATGCTGCTTTGTTCACGGAGGTTACGGGAAACAGCTGTAATTCTGCTGCTCCATAAGCGCCACCTGCTGTCAGCGAGTGGGTTTACAGAGACTTATATTCACATTCAGCTTGTGTGCAGTTTCTGTCTGGACAAAAAACAGACCAAATTTGCATGGCCTTCTGTAAACTTTGACCGGTTGATGAAAAACAAGCTTATGTAGATTCAACACATTTAAACAATTTGGATAAGGTATCTAGAATTATTTATGGAGCAGATAAAATACATATAATCATTTATCAGTCAATTGTCATTTTCATTTTGACTTTTTATACCATTACATCTCTAATTGAAATGATTTTCAGAACAACTTTTTTTCAGCTGATGAAGGTTAAAAGCATTGACAGCCAATCAGAATCCACCGGACTTTAAAGTGGCAGATGATAAAACTGCGGTTCGCTTATAATAAACAGTGTTGTCCGCTGGTGTGGATGCTAATATAGTTATCATTGTTATAGTGTGACCTGTCCTTTACACTTGCTCTGGGCCATTATTGTTGAGCACTGAAGGGTCAAACATTATTATTTTTTTTAATTTTTTTTATATTGTGCTCAATGCCATGCACTGTTTGAATTTCTAAAATTAATATCTCACTAGCCAGAAAGTCTCATTTATTTGCCAAAGCCTATTTTTACCTGCATTAGTTGGGTTGTGTTTGTTTTTGGAGCCTGTTTCTCTCTTTGGGTCTTGATTTGGTTCACAAACACCATGAGGACTGTGTGTGTTTGTGTTCCCGCTCAGGTGGAAGGGAGACTATGGCGGGAAGAAGCAGCTGTGGTTCCCTGCGAATTACGTGGAGGAAATCAGCCCGACGGCCGTGGAGCCTGACAGATCAGTGAGTTGAGCGTGTGTGTGTGTTTGTTGTTGTTGTGTTGTGTCAGAGGCGCTTTGGGCTCCGACCTTTACCCCTGTTCTCGCTCTCGCTCAGCAGGCCACAGAGAACAGTCCTCTGGGAGATCTCCTGAGAGGAAGTGTGGACGTGTCTTCCTGTCAGATCGGTGAGTGTGTGTGTGTGTTCCTCCTCCCTGATACACACTCAGCATCAGATCAGATGTTTGAGACCCTTACACAGATCCACACACACACAGAGACATAGACACACACACACACACGCGCAGACATAGACACACACACAGACATAGACACACACACACAGACACACACACACACACACACACACGCAGACATAGACAGACACACACACACACACACACACACACAGACATAGACACACACACACACAGACACACACACACACACACACACACACACACAG